TCTCCAAAAATTACCTGTAACTTAATTTGAAACATTTTGCTTAACAACTGAAAACCTTCCCCCCATTTTTGCATTTCTGGTGGATTGAAGCGAACAAATGCAGAAGTTAGAGCTTGAATCTGCTGTTGCATTCTGCAATGCGAAATAGATGAATTAATATTTAACGGGTGTTTTTGCTGGAATGCAAAGTTGTTGGAGTTAGAATGTTGAGAACACTTCAGAAAGCATATAAATAAACTTTTTAGTAGTCACATTTTTAAAACAATGGCTATATATTTTGCCTTCTGCATGTGTGCTCCTGCATGAAAGTATACATCCTAGGATAATACATCCTGTCATGATACAAGCACCAATATCGCTTCAAGTAAAAAGTTGGTTTTTAAATAAGTTGTGAATGGGGTTTCCTGTCAGGAAAGGAAGATACTTTTTTTACTTTTAATCCATTCTCCCCAATTGGAGAAACATCAGTTATTTTCCTCAGTTGTTTTCTATCTAAATCCTGTTGGGTTTTACTTAAATCGTAGTAGGAAGGTTAGAAAATGGAAAGGTATTCAAGTGAAATTGCCCTGTCATACATCTCACTCATACAGTAATATAATGCTTGTATAACTTTGGATCCTTGCCTTAGGAAGTATCGATTTAGTTATAAAAGTCTCTTCAAGCTGATGCCACTCAAAATTCTAAAATACTTTAGCTTAATTTGACCATTATCCACAGCAGTTACTAGACTTAGACTTAAAACATCTGGGGATAACATTGGAAAAAGATCAATTTGAAAAGTTCATTTTGAAAGCTTGGAATGCCTCGATGTATTTGAATAATACTTTATTTGAATTAAAATGTTCTTACATTAGGGAATTTAAGTTTTGTTTCAGAAAAGAGATGAATGGTTTAATTTATAAGCTGTCCGTCTTATGAAGATGACCCTATGCAATAAAAACAAAACCTTAAAACTCAGTTCTCTCTTTTCTAGATTACAGTGATTTCCTAAGAGCAGCCAAGTAAATTTTATGTACTAACTATACAGTATTTTGAATTCTGAAGTGTTTCTTAGAGTACAGGTCTTTAATTTTTTTTCCAGAGCTCCAATATACACAAGACCAGCCCCCAAAAACATTTTACCTGAAACAAAATGAGTTTCTTGGGATTCTATTGGGGCTGATGTCTACTGACTGCATGGAAAAATATTAACCTTTTCAACATGTTATAATAGTTTTAGGCTTCCAAGACATTCTTATAGTCATCTTGATCCTGTTTTACCTTACTGTTGTGCTCTTCTTCCTTCAACCTTGCAAAGGGTAGGATTTTCCTTTGGCAGGCCTGAATAAACTATGGGCATTGGCTTCTTTCTGATTATTGTCCAGTACAGGAGGGATTGGTCATTTGGTTTACATGGTTCAATGTAAAAGTTCAAACAGGGAGAGGAAAATGTTCTTATTTATGTTCCTATTCTAGAATATTGTTTCTCCAAACCTAGGTTCTTACAACTTCTTTTTCATTGTGAAGGTTCCTCAAAAGAACAGTAAGATGTTCTAGATATCATACAGTTTACAGGTCTTCCTGTAATCAAGCAAAGGTAAACACTTTCTCTTTGCATATCTTTTGTATCTTAGCTATCTGATCTTTCATTGCTGAAACTTGTCCGTTGTCTCTTCCATGTCTTTGTAAATAATGAGCAAATCTTATTGGATAGAAGTTGTAAATACTTTAATTATCTGCAGCTTTTAAGTGGTGTTTCATTTGCACCTTTTAAATCCGCCAGTTTTGTCCTTTCTAAGTGGATTCACTATAGCCATTCTATCTCCCTGTAACCTTGGTTAGCTCCATTAGGTCTTCATGATAATGCTTGAATATCCCTACCTTGAATGAGATCAAAAAAATAACAAGTTAGTTATACAATTCCATGTTATTTTTTAATCTCATCTTTTTCTATCTATACTTCGTATACCGGCGCATACAGAGATGTGTTTGATATCTGATAGGAGCTATGGGGGTGCAGTGGTTAGAGTGCAGTACTGCAGGCTACTTCTGCAGATCACCAGCTACCAGCAGTTTGGCAGTTCGGGTCTCACCAGGCTCAAGTTGACTCAGCCTTCCATCCTTCCGAGGTCGGTAAAGTGAGGACCCAGATTGTTGAGAGCAATATGCTGACTCTAAACCGCTTAGAGCACTCTAAACCGTAAAGCACTGGGAAGTGGTATATAAGTCTAAGTACTATTGCTATATGAAAAACATGAACATGCAGTGAAGCAGATAGCTACTGCTTGGTGATGCTATTGATAGGGTTACACTGGTTGTCAAAGTTGTACTAGCTTTTGGTGCATTTCCAAGTGCCATTCAAGGTACTGATTGCTACTTGTGAAAGGGAGCAATCAGCTTGGGGCTTGGCTATCTATAAAACCACCTTTTGTGCAGATGGCCAGAGTGGAGGAGGGGGACCAGGCAGTAGGCATTCTGTATGGGACTCTCCTGTGACAGACAAGGATGGGCTCTATCTACTCTTGTGATCTTGAAGAAGCTGAGAAAAACCCTAGTTCTTTGGAATGCCTTTGGGTACCGATTGTCAAGTCACTGGTGGTGGCTTTAGTTTTGATAGTGTATCATTTTCTATTTATAATTGTATAAATTTTATTATTGGTGTCTGGGCTGCCTAGAGCTGTCTGGATTGAGGAGGTGGAGTAAAGTCATAAAAAAATCATTCATTCATTCTACAGTTTGCATCTGGAAATGTCCTGGATGACAGGATTGTACTTCATCATCATCCTATTGTGCAGTCAATTTAATTTTGACGGTTTTAGCCATATCCATACAATGTGTAATGTTCACATATGTTCACGGTATGTAGGATGTTGGACTTGATGGCCTTGTAGGCCCCTCCCAACTCTAAATCTTATGTGTTTGTTTGACAATAATATTGTAGTTTGCCATTGCCTTTTCTGGGGTTGATTTTGAAGCTACTCAGATGCATTTTGTTTCCTCTTGTAAACTGCTTCCCATCTGACTTTACCTGCAAAGCGGAATCTCCTGCTCCATGCAGCATTCCTTTCAGCCTCACTGAAGCTACCAAACTTCCCACCACATCAGGTGGGAGAAGAAGGTGATTGTCCTTGTTTTTCCTTGTGACGATGGCTGCAGCATTGTATCCCACGTTTACCTGTTCTTTATAGGTTGGTAGCTTCTTCATAAACATACCTAGGTGAGAATGGGGTGAGGTGTGTAGAAGAAGGTGTTTGGTTAATGGCACCAAAGGAAAGTGTAGATAGGCTAGGGGAGGCCGATTGTAATGCAAAAGTACTCCCAAGATCAGTGCCCAATTTTTGGATGGCAGGATCAGAAGGTTGAGTGGTGTGTTGGTATTCTTTGGCTTTGGGGACCAGCAAAGAGTTGAGATGAGGTTAGTGGGTAGGTGTGAAATAGAGTAGGACAGGCACAAAGCAGTTATGGTGGTGATGGACAAGTAGAATAAGGCAAGGGAATAAGACTTTACTTGGGGAAAGGGAATTGGATGTTTGATATTAATGCCACTTTCCAGGCCTTTCAGAGAGGCGTTTGCCAGTTTCATGAGTGGCATTCATTGTAAATCAGGGTCCGGGTAGAAGTGTAGCTATAGTCACCTGAGAAACCCTTGGGGTCTCCTGGGTATGAAGCCTTGCTGGTCAAACAGGGCGTTCCCAGCTCTGCCATCCAATATTTTGCTGCTATTCCTGTCCATGGTGTGTATTGCTGAAGTCCACTGCTTCACCCTTGGTTCATGTGGGACTGGCTTCAGCTCCTCCTGCAGAGAGGAGTCATGCCGATAGGGACTTTGATGTGGATTCTGACCATACGGCTCTTGGATCATTCCCTTATCAAAGCTTCTACAGAAACTTGGTGATACCACGGTTTCTTTCACCAGCACAGCTCCACAGTCTCCTCCACCCATGTTTTGGAACAGCCTTCCCTAGCCTGGCTTATCTCTAGGCATGTTGGCTTACAACAAAGAATGTTCCTCGTCTGTTAACAGCCAGGCTGGGAATGACTGAAGTTGGATTTGATTGGACTCAAAATAAATGTTTGTGCCACTGAGATAATTGAACAGATGCCTTTAATAGGCATGTTCTAAGTAGCACCAACTTAGCTGGAGGCAGCATTCAAAACTAATGGTTAGTTTTACTATTTATTTTAATCAGATTGTGTGTCTTCACATAACAAAGAAGTCTAAGCTTTCGCAGCATGTAGTTGCCTAAATGTCTAGGGAGATTCTCAGTCATCCAGGTCATGAATGTCCCAAAGGTGCTTTTTCAAGAGGCAACTGGACTTTCTGGTTTATTCTTTGAAGACATTTTGCTTCACATGCAAGAAACTTCTGAAGGAGTGAAACGTCTTCAAAGAAAAACCGGAAAGTCCACTTGCCTCTTGAAAAAGCACCTTTGGGACATGAGTTGCCTAGTCGTTGGTTCAGCTGTATGCCTTGTCAAGATCTGGGCAGACCACAAACAGCCCCTAAGTTTCTCCCCTTCTCAAGAGGTGGCCCACTACAAGCGTGAGCTTCCTTCTACCTTTTGCAACCCAAGAGAGAAAATTCCGGGCGGACAGACGAAGGGCCCGGTCTCCGATTCCTCTGGCTCAGGTTTTGGACCCAAAGGAAGATGCTGGCCAGCGTTTGGCGCGCTCCCTTTTACCAGGAGGCATGAAAACAAGCGGGAAAGGGGAAAGCTGGGGACGGATGGCGCTGCGTCCTTCGCCGCCTCTTCCCTAGAGCTTCCTCCCCGGGCGGGTTGGGTGGGGGGGGGGGGGGCGGGCCGGCGGCCTGCAACCCCCAGGGGGGGCGGGGCCGGGCGGGGGCCGGGGGGGGGGGGGGGGGGGGGGTACGGACCGTCGGCCTGCAACCTCCAGGGGGCGCAGGGCCGGTCGGAGTCCGCGGCGGCGGCGGCGGCGGCGGCGGCGCTGCTTCTGTTTGGTTCGTGCCCGCGCAGCTGCGTGGGAAAAAGGAAAAAACAGGTGAGGCGGGTCTCCCAGGGAGAGGCGGCTCTCTTGCCGCAGAGAGGCGGCCTTGCCCTGCGAGACCGGGGCCCTTCTCCCGTTCCCGCTTTTGGGCTTTTCGCAGCCTTTCGGCTTCCCCACCCAGCATCCTCGGGAAGGAGCAGGAGGAGGTCAGTAAAAAGGAAAAAAAAAAAAAGGGGGGGGGAGGGGGAATAAATAAAACCAAACGGGGGGGGGGCGCATCTGGAGGAGGGGAAAACTGGGACGCTGCAAAGCCTCCCCGGTCTTGGCGGAGGAGGCGAGCGAGTTGCACGGCCAAAGCCCCCTCTGTTTCCAGTAGACGATGCCCGGGCGCCTTAAACGCGCGTTTTGCACTCGGGGTTGTTCGGGCGTCCTCGTGCTTTCCCTGAAACTATGAAGGATCCCAGCCGGGGCGGGTCCGCGGGGAAGAAGCCAGCCGCTTGGAGTTGAGCGGGTGGGGGTGGGGGGTGGGGCTGAAGCGAGGAGGAGGACGGGTGTGTCGCCGGGGGTGGGGGGTGGGAGCTTCTGCTTTTCCGAGGCGAGAGCAACTTCTGCTTCAGAACTACTCCGCCTCGGGAGAAAGTCAAGAGGCAGCTTCTCTCAAAAGAGGTATGTGGGGGGGCGGGGAGGCGGGGGGGAAGAGTGCCGTTCCCCCTTCCTTTGCAGCTCCCGTCCAGTGGGGAACGCAGGGCGCTGGGTTCCAGCAGGGCTTACTTCGGAATAACCCCGAATAGGATAAGATTGTCTGCTTGTGCCGCTTTTGGGGCGTTGGAACTTTCGCTCGTCTGTTGCAAAGTCTTGCCAGAACTCTGCTGGACTATAATAAGGTCTGCTACCCTCAGCGCCACCCTTGCCACACTCAGTAAACGGGGACGGGGACGGGGGGGAGAGCAGCTAAGTGCCCTCCTGATACCTCTACCCTTTTTCAGAAAGAGGCGGTTTTTTTTGCTCAGACCAGTACAAGTTTATTCTGGGTGGGGGCGGTTTGGTTGCTCCGAGCCCGTGTGTAGCTTGAAAACAGCTTGTGGAGAAGAAGGTGGCTCTGCCTGGCTTTCTGGGACTTTAACCAGGGGTCTCCACACCTTGGCAACTTTAAGCCTGGAGGACTTCAACTCCCAGAATTCCCCGGCCAGCTTTGGGAGTTGGTCCTCCAGGCTTAAAGTTGCCAAGGTGTGGAGACCCCTGACTTAAACCACCAGCCTGCTTCACACATTGTCTAAGCCACTGTGTGATTTAGCCTTAGCTTGTTTGTGTACAATCCAGCCTCAATGACTTTTGAAGTCTCTCCGGAAGCAGACTGGGCTTCTCGACTATGGGCAATCTGGGGAGGAAAAAACGATCCCTTTCTTGGCCTTTCTCACTTGGTAACCTTTTGATGTGGGCAAAAGTGGTGGCTTGACAACTATTCCACCCTTTGTTGGCTGGACTTTCTGGCAGCTTGTAATCCAATATATTGGGAAGGCTTGGAAAAAGCTGGTTAAGCTGGAGACACAGATGAAAAACAAACTACAACTGGGAAAATTTCAGTGGCTTTTTTAATGCTGCTTGAATCCCAAACCATGTATATTAAAATCAGAAGGGGAGGGGCAGGTGCTTTTGAATTTGTGCACAAATTCTTGAATTGCTTCTAAGGAAAAATCCAAGCACAACCCCCCCCCCCTCTTTTCCACCATGTAGAGTTATGTAACTGGGTGGTGCTCTTCAGAGCTAGTCTGCCTGTTTTGAAAAAGGTGCTCCTGTCTTAGTGGTGATATTTTTAAAAAAAAATTAATCGAATGGCACTCAAATCTGCCTGTTGCCATATAAACTTGGGTGGCTGTGGAGATTATGAAAGAAAGCTGTAGCTGATGTTTCTCCTCCACCTTCTGCTTATATTACCAATAAATAATAATATACTTTGAACACCTTCAAAGCATTCGCCTATCCCAGAGGACCTTGGGAAGAACCCCACATAGGTGGGTAAAAATGCCAAATCTAGTCTAGACATTGGACTGATTGGGTGACCAGACATAATAACAACAATAATAACCCCCCCCCACTCTAATAGTAATAGAAGTGGCACAGGGAGGATTATTATTCAAAAAGCAGAAAGCTGTTCCATTGTCAATGACATGGTAGAGCATGAGACTGGGAGAATGTGCTGACTTTGGTTCTGGGTGTGCTTGCTTTTTAATTCAGTTAAAGGGATCGCCCCATTTTTTGCTCCGGTGGTTTAGTTTTATAAAACAGACTTTTCTGGTCCACGGTTTCTGGGATTTAAGTCTACTACCTAAGCCACCTCCTCAAGTAGGCTAGGACTGCAGCTTTCCAAATTGCCAGTGGAGCTTTCGAGAAAGGTGGATGAGGCCAACAGGAAGATATTAAATTGGTCCAGAGAAAAACAAAAGTTGAGGATGGAAGCAGTGGAAGTCAAAATCCAACTCATCTGGGAAAGACCCTTGTTGATTGGGAAAGTGCATCATGCAAGAAACCAAAAGTATGCTTTAATGTTATTCCTTTTATCATTTCTTTTTGATCCTTTATTCTTTTTACAAATAACTCAAAACAGTGAACATACCTAATCTTCCTTCCTCCTCCCATTTTCCAAAACAACAACCCTGTGAGGTGGGTTGGGCTGAGAGGGACCCACCCAAAGTTCCCCAGCCAGATTTTATGCCTAAAGCTGGAGTAGAACCTAGTTATTATACTGCATTGACGAGAAGGTGCTAGAGAATCCCAAGGAATTTCAGAAAGGAAACCCAAGATTGGTTTCCTAACAAATTATTAGTGATACAGAATAATCATCTGTGGGTAGAATATAACATGACATCATAAAAAAATATGATGTAGATCTTTAAAAGTATCTTAGAAAAACCACTGCACGTTTCAAAGCATTGGACTAACACTTTCTTCTTAATACGCTAGTTCTCCATCTGTAGGACAGAATGTAGTGTGTTTTCTTCTTTATACACTAGTCCTCCATGTGTAGAACAGAACGTAGCATACTCAAACCATGTTCAAGGGTCGGAGAAAGTTTGTACAGATTGTACCACTGATTCTCAGCTCCTTGCATCTTGCCTTCCACCTGTCACTGTGATCAAAGAACCTGGATCTTGGTAGAAATCTGAGAAACTGGTACTTCCGTGGGATTAGCCAGCCCCACCTGTGCAGGTAGAAGGGGCATGCTGCAGTGCAGACCCAGTCAGCCAAGGAATCTCAGCTGATGGGGGTCCAGAAGAGCCTTTTCTATCATGGCTCCTGCTCTCTGCAGTAGATCTGACCCATTCCAGGTCAGATCTATTCCCATCCTTTTGGCTTTCCGAAAGGCCTTGGTCATGGCTATGCCAACTAGTCTGTCACCCCAATGGGGTGTGGCACATTGGCACCTGCACCCTGCGTGCGCTTTGCTCCCCCCTCTATTCTCCTTAGTTTTATTTTTACTGGCTTTTTAAATTTAAGACCTTTAGTTATTGTTTGAATGTTTTATGCTGCATTCTATGCAATATCTGCAAGCTGCCTAGAGACGCCTTTGCTGGGATACAAGTTGGACAGACAAACAAACAAACGAATGAATGAAAGTTAGTTCATTTTCCTCGAAATATACATACATGTTTAAGCATCCTGTTGGTATGTTATCCTTTACAGCAAGCTTTCAAGAGTTGATTCGAGTTTCAGTTCTTTACCTTGTGGCTCACCTGAACTGTTTCTGAGTCTTTCAGTGAGATGTGTGCTGTTAATTAACAACCACTGGTATACATAACAAGGTTGGTGTTTTCCAGATGAGCTTTACCAGAACCTTCAGTGTCCTTGGTCTTTGAATATTCTGTTTGGAGCATGTAAGATTTGACCCCAAGCCAGCTGCCATTCACCTCTTCATGGGGCTGCCGGTCTGAGCCAATCTGGCTTCGACTATTTTACCTGATTATTTCAATTCACACCTACAGTCATAGGCTTTAAAGATCTTTGCTGGTTCTTTTCTTGTGTTTCCTTTTTCTTTGAGAGTCGGGCTGACTTCAAATTAAAACAAACAAGTGAATGTGATTAGGATCATGGGAACGAATCAAGGCTTGTGCAAACATGTATGGCTATATTGTGGCAAGCTTTTAGCTCCCTGCAGCCTTGTTTAGAATGGGACGTTATGAATCTACTCTCTTTTATTTTTTCCCCCTAACCTCTTCTAGATAGTGTCTTTTGTTACAGCTGTTTTGTTAGGAGGTTGCCAATTGAGCAAATACAGGCAGGCAAGGAGGAAAATCTGTGGCGTGCAGGGTTTTCACATCTAAAAGATATTGCAGTCCCTGTTTTATACTGAGCGGTTGTCACCTTTAGAGCCCTTCGTGGCTTGGGCGTGGATTAGGTCTATCTTCTTGTCATTTCGACCTGCCCAGTTTGGTCAGGCAGGTTGGGTCTGCTGCGGGTCCCATCAGCTAAGGAGTATTGGCTGGCAGGATCTAGGACAGGTGCTTCCTCAGCCCTATTTCTGCCCTCAGGGAACCTTCTTCCTTCAGATATTAGCATGATGACCCTTAGCCTGCTCACCTTTTGCAACATCATGGAGCCTTCTGTCAGGTTTCCAAGTGATTAAACCCATTTAAAAAGAAAAGAACAAAGTCCATCTTCCAAGAGAATTTCTTTTATTTAGGAAAGCATCAAATTGGCAAAGTCCGTGGTAATTCCAGATCTGACACAACTCAAAATTACCCCACAATATTAGAAGTTAGAAACAACCCCCCAAAGTCACATTCTCCAATAGAAGTAATTCAACATTGCTTGATGTCATAAATCTCCACCTCAAGAGGCCTAAGTATAACAGCTTGTTTTCCCACGGGAAGAAGAATCACTTCTAAACAACTCTCTCTATCTCCATTCCTCCCCGCTTAGGAATGTGGCAAGCCCGAAACCCTTCCCCTATAACTGCCAAAGAGAAAGTAAGAAAAAAGAATATATACTAAGCCTAACTAAAATGGCTACCCATAGATCAATTTTGGGCTTGACAGGCTGCCCTCCCACATTTGAAAAGACACCCCTGCAACGACATAAAATACACAATTGACCCCAGGTCAATTTCGGGCTTGATAACTTCTTTGTGTGTCCAGGCCTGGGGCTCCTTTTCCTGTCTCTATGACCATCCATAGTAACAGTTTTACTTGGTGCTGAGTATATTTGTTTG